TGTTTGGTTGATTTCATAAAAAGCGCCAAGAGGAAGTAGATTATTTTTTCATAACATTTTTTTTTATTGTTGTGTTAATATTAATTAAAAAAGTAAATTAGTACTGGTCATTCATAACCTGATTATACGACTATTATGATCTCTGATATCTTTTGTTCATCATTATAAAACTTTTATTCCGCGTATTTTAACGACACGACATATTAAGACCTTCCAGAATTTCTAAATGAATATTGCACTCGCTACTATTAATATATCCTCTGTACCACAACTGTAAAATGATGCGTATTTTAAAAATCATCGTTCCGTTCCAGTTGTACAGACAGACGGAGTAACACGGTGACCAATATTATCCTCAGTGTCGCCGTGTGTTTGCATGACACCTGGTTTGTTTATTTAACAACTGGGCCAACTTTTCTTACATTAGCAACCGACGTGTGCCATGTGATCCATCATACGAAGTATGTAAGTTACGTAACGAATAGGGCTGCTACAAAAAAAAATTGTGCTTTATCTATACTTCTATACTATTATAATAAAGCGTAAACACACACTTCTTTGTTGCCAAAGATCTCAGCAATTACAGCATATTTTTGAAAACTCTTTTTTTAATAAAAAGCCCTACACTTACGTCACGCTTTAGGCTACTTATATTCACGCCATTAAACTTAGGGGGTAAATATTTTGGATGAAAACCCTAATGTGGGAAAGAGACCATAAGTTACTGCCAACATCATGGAAGCAAGATTCCCATAGTAAGGTAATTAGTATTTTGACATGTGCAATTGAGAATTTGACAAAAGCAAACAACAAAATGTTTTTGTTATAATTTCATGTGGATGAAGCCGCACGGGAACTGCTAGTCTTACATATTTGGAATCAATTAAATATTTAATTGGTACTGACGACTTTTAATAGACGAATCAATTTTTAATGATTGATTAATATACAATATTTAAGTCTGCATTACGCCAGACGAACTAGTGTATTTATACTTCATTTTAAAATCAAAGTAAAACTATTCTAAATAATGTTCGCTTTATTCCCTGTTCTTTGTAAAGATTAGTCATTCATATCTATTGAAATGGAGGTTAGAATGCATAGGTAAGCAACACTAACAATCTTTTCCGTCCAATTATGACGTAGATAACTTAACGATGATTCAAGTCTTGAACAAAATCATGTTTCGTTTACTGAGTAATAAGTATAAAGTATCGAGATATACATCCACCATTGTATGAATGGACATATTTTTATATCAATTAATGACTCTTTAAGATTTACAAATGTATTATTTATTTTCAATTCCAACGAAAATAAAAAGTGGGTATATTTAAAATTTATTTGAACAATCTTTTATAGACTCTCAAACAGCTCTCTACATCACAATGGTATTATGAATAAGTCCATAACATTTACATGTAAAGGTATTAGCTATTTCTATGATAAAAATGTAGTAACGAGGGGTGTTGGAGCGGCACAACGTCCCCTCTTACGCTAGTTTTTACACAAAGGTAGAACAGAGAACAGAATATTATCTACTGCCTACTGCTGTTTTTTGTACATTCACTGACATAATTATACTAATTCGATAAAGCCAGTTAAAAAGTCAAACATTGTATGGAACTGATAATAACTTTCCATATGTCACTGGTATATTTATTGCTATATATATTCTGACATATTATGATGATTTATATAGCGATATCGCTAATCGGATATTGCTTTGTTTTGTTCTTTCTGAGTGTTACGCAATCAAAAACCATTACTGTACTGTTTTACTGCACTATCTTACTGTTCTGCCCTTGTGTGAAGCGCGTTCAAAAACCATTACTGTACTGTCTTACTGCACTATCTCACTGTTCTGCCCTAAGGTGAAACGCGTTCAAAAACCATTACTGTACTGTCTTATTGTTCTGCCCTTGTGTGAAATTACCTATACCTTGACGCGCAATAGAAATGCTCCGTACAATATTAAATATGTTTAAATAAAAATAAAATGAGATTGTAGACGGTGAGCGGATCTATTGAGAACGGTACTTTATTGAAAAATGTTCGCTATAAACGGAATAAGATTTTAATGAAATATTGGTGAAAGTTCAACGGAAATTGAAATACTGAAATTGTGATTTCTGCACGATATTTATGACGACGATACGGACTGTATAGATGGAGTAGACTTAAAATTTATTTTTGAGAATAAATTAAAGAAAAAACAAACAACCAAAAATCATTACAGGCGCGCTGTCATCATGTCAATTTATCATCATCAAATATCTTCTCTTTTATGGTTTTTGTCACAATATGTCAGAGTTTTTAGTTATGATTGTTAGATACCAAATAGAGCTACAATTCAAATGGGAACAAAAACTGAAAGGCTTAGGAAGGTGACGCCAGGGCCAAGAGTCATATCTCAAAGGTTTTATTCGTCATTTTATTTTTAGGTAAACTATGGCCACAGTCCACAGAGTACTTTATATTTTGTTAAAATTGTTTTTATGTTCCACCATCTAGTGAGCAAAAGACAATTTTTCTCCCCATTTCTGCCAAAGTATCTGCGGTCCGCAAAGTGAAACTTTTAAATTAAGATATATTTATCTGATTGAAAATGCGATATACAGTTAAAAGTGACGGTAAGAGTATCAGCAGATGACAAAGATGTAAAAATTCATTCATTATTACATTGTAATAAAAACCTCCAATCAATCTTTACACACGTATAAGTATCATATACGAGTATGTAAGTACAGAACAATGTGTAAGCATATAGAAATATGTAAATATAATTAATAATAAATTACGTTTGTTATGAATGTTAGTTATTGTTTTCTTTGCAATAGCGTTTTATAAGAGAAAAGTTAAATAAATAGTGTCCGTTTGAGTTGAACAAATCGATCTGGACGGTCACGTGGTGGGCACGGCGAGCCCGCGTGGTTTATCAACGAGACTAATCTATGGCTGCAGCCAGTGGGCCGCATAATGCTATAAATTGCTCTCCTTTTTTTAAACGAAAGAGAGCATCTGCGGTGAAGTGTTATTTCTTCAAGTACTTTAATGATAAGCTGTCTGACAATTTAGTTGCCAAGTAATGTTTTATTTTAGCACGATTACAAGCAGACTGTTCCTTTTTCGCGACGTTGTATTGTAATCAAAGCCTGCTATGCTCTACGCGAAACAAGGGATTGATAGGTATGGATTACCATCAAACGAAAGTTGGATGAAGGTGGACATAACCCACAGATGTAGTAGAAAGTATTTAAGAAGCATTATTCTTCTTGAAGTTACAAATTACATTTACTTTCTTTTAAACGACCCAAAATTAGGAGAACCTAAGATTTTTTTAGAAAATCAGTCTAAAATAAAGAATATTTCTGTTATACAATAATGGACTCATCGGTTTTTTTAACGATTTTGGTAAATCGGTAGTAAATGGTACAAAATCTTTGCATGTCTAAGCGTCAGGTTGCGTATGAGATTACGGTGGCTATATCTATCGCGAAGTGGTAATGTGTAATGCTTTCATGAAATATTTAAAAACTTAAGAGCATTTATTGATATATATACAACGTATACCAGAAAAACTAAAAAGTATAAATCTGATAGTTATCGTGAAATTGGAACAACTTAGAACTTAACATTCAAGACATACCTATCACCCAACAAGATATACACTATCTCTCATAGTAGCAATAATTTCATCTGAAAAGTTGAACTGTTCAGTATAAAGTTTCATGTGTAGGCAAAACTGAGAACTGTACAGTTCACCTGACAGTCACAATATTGCATACGTACATTGTAACTGAAGTGTCCGATTTTTCAGTTAAAACTGGTTACAACTTAATGCGTGTAGCTTAAGAAGGTCGTATGACACATTCAACGTCATATTATGCATATATCTATAATTAAAAACACGCTATGTACATACCTCCACGAATTCACAATAAACGAAACTCAAACAAATTAGAGCACTGAATTCAGACAGGACAAAATTTGCAGACGACTTCTTAATGAAGATATATTTAAACAACTTTCAACTACCTAGACAGCTATTACATTTTATTTAACTACCCTACTTATAATAATGTCATTGTTATCACTTTTAATTACAATTGTTTACTTACCTACTACTACCAATTATTATATCGTTCTCGTATAGGGTAAATGTTATTTACCTTCATCTCTTAAAAAATACTATTGAAATGTCTTTTTCTCCAATTAAAAAAAAAACAGATTGTTTTTACTGTTTACCTCTATTTTAACAGAGAGATTTAAAATACATATTTTGTTTAACGCATGCATTGGCTTGCTATTTACTATAAATGCTTCGAAGTCATAAAGGAACGTAATTTATTTATTGCCTATAAAATTTAAGTGTTATGCGTATGACGTACGTTTTTTAATCATAAGGTAAATTGCTATTGGAATCGAGATTTTTGATGTCAATTTTAATACTCGTATATTAATCGTAAATGACGTCAAAGATCAATCTGAATGGAATGTATTATGAAAAAAAAAATAGCTTTGTATAAATCGATTACTGGATACTATCTGGCTATGTGAATTATACGAAAAGCGATCTTCAGGTGATACGAGCTATTGCCGCTTATCGACTGATTTATCAGTGACGTTGGTTTTGCATATACAAAGCTATTGAGTGAATAATGAATAGGAACGTGCTCCAATAGAGAAAGAAAAATATTATCTACATTCGATATATGGTAATATCGTGATGGTGTACCAAGTTTGGTCTGCGATTTCCCAACTTAGGCTACCGGGTCAGAGAAATCGCCCACCTACCATATACCATGTGACTTAAGCAACACGTCGTCCTCTCTTTCACGACCCCTTGAGAGGGTGAAACCTACCCTATTGTTCAACCTCCATGTCCCAATGCAGATTCTGAAGAATGTTCCATTTTATCACAAGCTAGAATATTGTGAAATGATGTTGACGTTGTTATTTGCGTTGTTTGGGGAGTGCTAAGCAATGAAGGTACTTACGAAATATTCTGCTGATGTCTGGTCCGCCAGCGTGGGGGAGAGCAGGCAGCCGGGAGATGGCGGCGCGGTGGCAGCAATGGGCGGTGCCAACGATAGCAGTTCCCCAGCCGATGCCGACACGCTACCAGCCGCCGCCAGGCTGCGCAGCCGGTCCGCCAGGTCGGTGTGCACGCCCAGCGCATTCTTTGTAGCATTTCCCCCTTGCTGAGTGCCGCTCAGGTTGTTTATAATCCGCGGCCGGCGCAGCTTCTGAGAAGCCGCTCGCCAGCGCCGCAGCCGACTCGCGGCGTTATTAAGTACCTCCTCCGCCTCCTGGGACGCCGGTTGATCCTCATCGGACTCCGCCACTGGCTCGTCAGAGTCCACCACTTCGTCGTCTATATACGGCAAGTGCGCCGCGAGAACGGAGACCGGCAGATCTGGCTTTTTGCCTTCCTCCAACATCGGTTTGTTGGTATTCACGATAAAATCACGCAACTGAAATGCCTGCTTTTGGTCTTGGTTTAAACCGTCGGGCATGGTATTTGTAGGGCGGTTGTTAGCAGTTTTAATCTTTTTCTCTTTCTCTTTATTTCCTTTCCTTATTGGACCTTTTTGACACCTGAACTCGCTCGCGCTGGTTAGTTCAAATTCTTGAATATCGGAAGGCATTGCGAAGAAAAATCGCTGACACAAATACATCAGTTTGTTGATAACACCGAACATTTGTTTGATTTCTAACAAACCGCTGAGGGTTAATTTAGGTTTTTATTTTTAAATTGAAAAAATGTAGCTTAGGACATCTTCACATTTTTCCAGGACACGGCTAGTGTGTAAACTATCAGTATTTATAGAATCTATCCCAATTCGTATGTGATCGGCGATGTCGATATCACTTAAAAAAAATAACACATTAATTCACTGTCAATCCATGAACGTTGAGAGAATCGAAATACACCAATCGATGATTATTCATAGCCGCAGAACATAATGAATGATTTATTAAAACATGTTACGAGCGGTGTCAAACAATCCAGCCGCTAACAGAACAGCGAACACTACTGTACTGTACTGACTCGCACTCGCACTGTGGCATTATAATCTATAAATATATACGTAACGGTCTCGGTTGTGGAGTTTCTCTTGTTTGTATTGACGTGCGGCCGTCCTGCGCCTGCGTGAACCGGCTTACGATTATTACGATACCGCACGCCCTCTTGCTTTCAAATATTAAAACAACTTATTTTAGCGCCATCTATTGATGTATTGTCGATTCTTCTTTCACAAACAAAACTTAAAAAACCGTGACTCAAATAAGTCTAACCTTAATAAAAGATGGCGTGTTTTTGGAATTTAAAACTTATAATTCACTACTCTTTTACAGCATAAAAAAATCTTATTCTAAATGACCCTAAAACCCTGCCACCTTATTCCAGAAAATGCAAATAGTAGGGACTACAAATATAGTCCCAATGCAAATAGTCCCTATTATTTGCATTTTTGAATAGAATAGTATTCTATTATCTGTGCGAGAACCTAAATATATTCAACAAAGATTCAAAAACGACTATTGAAGTAACAATTCGTCTCAATTTTGACTTAAATATTGTTATTAGAAGTTTAATAATAAATGTATTCTTTATTTTGTTATAAAGTTTATTATTCTAGCATCTGGGACAGTACCAAAGTAATTCATTATTCGGAAATAAGACTACAACTCTTTCACTAGTTAGGGTTAAATAATCATACTTCGTAGGTACTAATGTTATAAATGTGAAAGTTTAGATGGATGATTGTTTGTAAGAGTTGCCTAAACTGCTGAACGGATCTCGATGAAATTTGACATGGATGTTGAGGATAGTCTAGAAGAACACATTGGCTACCTGTTTTTGTTTTTATGAATTCCACGCAGCTAGAGTCGCGGGCGAAAGTTAGTCATCTGTGATTACTTGTGATACAAAATGGACAGCTTTTTATTTCATTGTCTGGTTCTGTCTTAACTGTCGAACTATTTCAAATATTTGTTCCAATTAAACGTTCTAAAAAATGTTCTTTATCCGAAGCATGGAATGTTTATAATTTATGTAAATTCATAATCGTTCAAAACGTTGACAGTCACAAAGAGCGCTGTCCGTCGATCATTATTCGCTCTAAAGCGTTTTAACCTAAATAAGAACCGTCCGCGGTTCAAATCTCGTTATTACCTAATTGTTGTGAGTCACTGACAATTTGTTATTTCTATTTCGACACGGTCTCCTGATTTGGTTGTGAAATAGAATATTTTAACAGATGATCAATGCAAAATTTCAACAGCTCATGTTCATTTATAATCCAGTGGATTTTTAGTTTTGTGATTTCATCAATTCACTTTATTTCTTGCATAGAGTATTTTTTATTTCTTGTTACATTCAAGAAAACAAATTGCCTTTTTCATTCTCTCCAAAAAACTGAGAATTCCAAAAAATCCAGCGTACAAATACTCCAAGACTGATCTTGTCCCTGAATACAACACAAAATGTTGTACGTACCATATTATCATCAACCCTGATGGAAATATGAAATAATGTTTGTAGTTACATTTTACATGATCGCATTAAACGATTGTGTTTCCAATAAGAAAGGAATCTATTGTATTATTGGCATTTACATAAATAAAATTATTAATATTATGCCAGAGGCTACATTAGTTATCCACATCTCGATGATTGCGACAATTTGTAGCCATTAGGCTATGCGCAAGGCACCATGAAGGCTGCTGTTATTAGGGGAATACCATCAATTATTTCAGAGGGCATATTTAATACTCGACATCGACGTGTCACTTTTAAAACCGAACCGAACAACCGACGCGGTGCATCGCGGTAAAAGCTTATCCAGAGCTAAATAACAAGTACCTTCATTCAGTCGATATGTGCCTTTGGCTTATAACGGCCTGTTTAGGCCTCTTGCCCGCGCAACCTGCTCCCCCCAATGTCATTGTAGTGCAAGGAGTTCCCACTCCTATTCTTCAGCCTACCACAGCTGCAACAACTGCAGCACCAAATACTACCACGACCACAACAACAACTACCACTACTACAACAGCGAGACCTGGAAATATGACCTCACCACCACCGCCTACGATGCCAAGTAACACCACCACCACGGTGACGACAGCCGCGCCCACCACCACAACTACGGCGGCCACTACTGCTGCTCCTACCACAATGTCCACCGCAGCGACCACAGGTGGAGTGCTTTTATCAGTTTTACTATGTGACAATCCTGACTTGATTTGTATATCTAACCCTGATGACCCTGCTTCAGGCTCGCTTCCCATAGATCCCAGGCTCGGCACCACACCTGGCGCCTCCGGGGCGATACAAGTGCCGCCTATATCTGGATACAGTGGTCAAGTGCCATCCTACGATACGGCAGTGAGATTCCCTCGTCAGCGGCGGAGTGTACAGCTTAGTTTGAAGGATTTATACGATGGTTTCCGTAGCGACTTAATACCAGAAAATAAGCACAATATTCGCAAGAGACAGAGCTGCAGATGTGTTCCCACAGGCACCTGCGTCCGGACATCTTCAGGCGCCGGAATGATAGACATAAGAATTGTCACCCCGGTAAGCCTAAATTAAGTTTTAATATTGACTAACTTTGAAGATTTTCGTAATTATTCGTAATTCGCCATCAAATGTCGCGACGTCATCTATTGATGAGTAGCGGAATTCTCATATTATCAAAGTGTTTTAATTCTACCCCCACTCTAGTAACACTATTCTATTTATAGACAATATTCGTAGGTTGATATATGACACTGAATATCGAACACATCATTTGTCTTTAGTGACGACATAAAAAATATAGTGTATTGTTCTTTAGGACAACAAGTGTTCAAATCTTAATTAATTTTAGGGTTCAACTCAATGCCCAACAGGGCAAGAATACTGCTGCGGCAGTACAACTACTATTGCGTGTGGCACCTTGCAGACTGTGCCATCCACTGGAGTCACTCCTGCCACTGGTCAAGCGAACTTTGGAGAATTTCCTTGGCAGGTAACTAAATATGTAACTAAAAAATAAAGAAGTCCCATGGATAGATATAATATGATATTTTAAAATTTAACAGGCTTTAATTTTGACTTTACAAAATGATTACATTGCCGGCGGCGTTTTGATAGACCAAATGAACGTCCTAACAGTCACCCATAGGATGTTGCCTTACATGTAAGTTAAATTTTAATTACACGACTTTAAATTTTGTTGCTTCGTATCATACTCTTGATGTTAATGATATTTGTAATCGTGTTTTTAAGTGTTTCAGGAACTGCACCTAATGTCAAAGTCCGTCTCGGCGAATGGGATGCGGCTGGGACTTACGAACCTGTGCCATTCCAAGAGTATACAATACGGAAGGTAATCAGTCACCCCTCGTACAGTGCTAACACCCTGCAGTATGATTTGACGGTATTGAGATTGAACACCGCCGTGCCGTTATCCCCGGCAACTGGTTCCGCAACTACGATCAACAGAGCATGCCTACCACCGAATTCAAATTCTGTCTACACTGGAATCAGGTAATCTCTTTTCGTATACATAGAACTTTTAATTATATAAGAAGTAAATTTGATGGGTATGGAGACGCACGTGGAGTGCGTCTCTTTATGTGTGTCGCCTTCGACAGCATTTTAGAAGAATTCAAGTGGCCGCTAGATTATTTGCCACCTTATCATATAAAAAATGGAATGTGTCAAAAAGAAATACTTTTGAATTGCAAAAATCGAAGAGGGAACAATGCTAAGGTATTTATTACGATTTCTAAAATGTCACGATTATTCCTTGGTCAAAGTATCTTAAAAGAGACCAAACTATCGCACAACTGTTACGTCGCGCTTTGATTCCTAAGGCTTATATGGAGGCGCGCACGCTACTCGATTTTTAGTACTAAACAGTTGAATGGGCTGCAAAACAATCGAACTACAGTTGTGCCATAGTTATTTTTTCATTCATTAGCGACATCGCATTAAGCACACTGCAGAATACTCAACTAAGTACATATATGTTCCAGATGCATGGTGTCTGGTTGGGGTAAAGATATGTTCGGCATGACTGGACAGTACCAGCAGATCATGAAAAAGGTGGACGTGCCAGTAGTGGCGTCGGCGACTTGCCAGGCGCAGCTGCAAGCGGCAAGGCTCGGCGCCACCTTCGTCCTTGACACCACCTCCTTTGTCTGCGCAGGAGGTGAAGCTAACAAAGATGCCTGTACCGTGAGTATCACGTAAAATGTAATCATGATTCATAAACTATTCCAATTAAAATAAAGTGTAACTATTTCTAAATAAATAGGAATGAAATGGAAATCGTGGTATAGAAATATATGTCATATTCAAAAAAATTGAAGTTTTTTGTGAAAAATTCACACGTATTCCTCTCGTCTAATTTCAAACAATTATTCAAATCGTTAGAATTGTTTCCTGATAGCCAGTATTATTTTTTTTTAAATTGCAAAACCAGCGCTTGACCACTATCCCACCTAGACCAAGGTGAAGATGTGGTCGAAGGATGGATGGATAATATTAAATAAATTATATGTATACTTAAGCAGTATGTTAATATTTTCGATCCGTTGCAGGGTGACGGGGGCTCGGGATTGGTGTGCCCGGTAAACGGGCAGTGGGTGGTTGTAGGGCTGGTGTCGTGGGGGCTGGGCTGCGCCAGCGCCAACGTGTCCGCGGCCTACGTCAACGTGGCCGCCCTGCTGCCCTGGATACAGCAGCAAGTCGCCGCGGCTTAGTCACTGACTACATAGAGTACCTAGATTTTATATGCCAAACTTATACAAAGGAACCAATTATGGAATCTTAGTGCGGTATAAAGTAGTTGATCTACGAGTAGCAAACAAGTTTGATGTCTTTAATATTTCGTTGTATTTGCAACGATTCTGCCAATTTATTCGCCGTAGCGATTAACCAAATAAACAATACTATTTCAGTTACACACACTAAGAATTAAAAAAAAAAATCATTACGAATTCATAAAAAATTGAATGAAATAAAAACAAATTTTATTTTTCTACATGTTAGGCATGTAGCTGATTTCTCAATAGCTAGTTAGCAATAGACTTTACTACAAATTTCAGTATCGTCAGTGTTGAGTTTGAATATAATTTCGAAATAGGTAGCCAGTTTCGGACGTAGCGATGTCATGGTTTGATAGGATCAATATAAAAACCGAAGTTGTGAAGCCTAACACAATAATTTATTAAGTTAACAATTTTTACAAATAAGAGTGTAAAACTTACAAAAACATAGAACATAAAAGGTAGAGCTAACTCTATGTATACTTACAATCGATGCAGCGTTCTAAACGCGTTTCAACAGTTTAAATAAAGTTAAACTTAACTAGCTACAGCGTCTTTGCTGGGACGTCATCTAATATTGCAGCGGAAGGTCCGCGTCACGGACGATATCACGATCTCTGGCGGCGGCGCTCGCCTCACTCCGCCTCCGCGCGCTCCA